TCTGGATGGAGTGTTCTGTAGGTATCAATTAAGTCCATTTGGTCCAGAGTCACATTGAGGTTCCGAATCTGGTTGCTGATTTTTTGTCCCGATGATCTGTCGAGGGTTGTGAGTGGAGTATTAAAGTTCCCAGTTATCATAGTGTTAGAATCAATATCTTTCTTTAGTTTTCCTAGGAGTTGCTTTGTAAAAGTTGGTGCACCTATATTAGGTGCATATATGTTTAGGATAGATATTTCTTGTTGATGGAGTGAGCCTTTTATCATTATGTAGTGGTCCTCTGTATCTTTTTTAATTTTTGATAGCTTAAATGGTATTTTGTCTGAAATTAGGATCGCGACTCCTCCTTTCTTTTGTGTTCCATTCGCCTGGAAATTTGTTCCCCATCCTCTTACTTTGAGTCTGTGCATGTCCTTTCTAGTGAGATGGGTCTCTTGAAGGCAGTATATTGTTGCCTGGTGATATTTTATCCATTTTGCCATTCTATGTCTTTTCAGTGGTGCATTTAGTCCATTCACATTCAGGCTAATTATTGAAATGTGAGAGTTCATCCCTATCATAGAGTTCTTATAGAGTTGTTGTTCTTCCACTTGGTTTTTTGTCTTTCTTTTGGTTTTGGGGTTGATCATGTGTATTGTATTCTTTTTTCTGTACTCTTGTGAAGAATGTTGTTCTTTTTTCCTTTTCTTCTGTGTTTAGTACTTTCTTAAGTGTTTCATGTAGAGGTGGTTTGGTTGCAGCATAAGTTCTTAGGGATTGGATATCTGGGAAAGATTTTAATTCTCCCTCGCTGATTAAGCTTAACTTGGCTGGGTAGGTTATTCTTGGTTGAAATTGTTTATCTTTTAGGATTTTTAAGATAGGGCTCCAAGCTCTCCTAGCCTGCAGGGTTTCTGTAGATAAATCTGCTGCTATTCTAATTGGTTTTCTATGATAGGTAATCTGACCTTTTTCTCTTGCTGCCTTTAGGATTTTTTCTTTTATGCCTACTTTGTTTAGGCGAATTATTATGTGTCTAGGAATTGGTTTTCTCATTTGTTGTCTTGTAGGGGCTCTCTGGATCTCTTGTGTTTGAGTTTTTTATCGTTGATTAGATAAGGGAAGTTTTCTTGAGTGATCTCATGGAAGGTTTTTTCCTATGTGGTGTCTGTCTCTTTTTCTGCCTCAGGCAGACCAATTACTCTTAGGTTAGGCCTCTTGAGGTAATCGCTCATCTCTTGAAGGTTTTTTTCTGTCTTTTTGAGTTTGGTTTCTGTGTTTTTGAGAGTTTGGGTTATTTCTATATTTTGGTCCTCAAGCTCTGAGATTCTTTCTTCTGCTTGGGTAATTCTGTTTTCTATGCTTTTCAGTTTATTGCTTATTTCATTCACAGTATTCTTTATTACTGTTATCTCATATATCAGTTCCTTTCTAGTTTCTTCTTGAGTCTCTTCAATTCTTTTTAATCTCTCCATTAATGTCTTGATGTCTAGGGTTGTATTTTGAGACCATTCATTCTGGGCGGGGCTCTTCATTGTTTGCATTCCAAAGTCAGTTTTCTCAGTGTCTGCCCTCCCAGGAGTCTGGGAAGGACCCATATTCTTCTTTTGTTTTTTCTTCGTTTGTGTAGATTTTTCTCTCTCGTCCCTTAGTGGATCAAGTTCCTGAGATCTAATCTCCAGCCTCTCTCCTCTCTTTCTATTGCAGGCAGTTAGCTTGTTGCCTAGGAGATCTGTGACACTAGTCTCTATTCAGCGTAGGGGAGGGGCTTTGTCTTCTGTTAATGACGTCACCATGGGAACCAAGGTAGAGGCTCTGCTAGGTGGGCGGGCGATGTGATGTAAATATGCCTTGAAAATGGCGGAGGTGGTGGTTTGCTTTTAGCGGGCTCCTTTGGGTCTCTAGGCAGGACCAGCTTCACAGCTGGGCACTGGATCTGGGGTGCCTCCAGCTGGCTGGGGTGGAGGACAGGGTCGGGCGTTTCCTCCTCTGGAACTGGAAACCTGCTATCGGCACCTTACGCCAGCTTGGGGTTCTGCCCCCTTACACAGGCTTGTGGTCACGTACGCTGAGTGCCTCAGCCAGGGTGGGCCAGGGGCTTCTGATCTCCAAAGCTCCAGAGAGCGAGAGCAGGTGGTGGCTCTGGGTCCCTCCCAGGGCACTTTAGCCAGAAATGGGACTGGTATCTCTAAGGGCGGGCACTCAGAACCTCCCTGCATGACCGGCAGCTTCATGCTGGGTGCTGGTCTCCACGCTGTGGCCGGTGATGGAGCTGTGATCCGGAATTTGGAATTCCCCAGCCAGCCGGAATCACATATAGTGGAGCAGCCGGTCCAGCAGCGATGTCTGGCCCTGCGTGGGACCAAAAGTCCCCAAGCCTCCTACCAGTGCGGGTGGAGGTGGGCGGGGGGGTGCAGGAAGAAAAGTAATAGTCTTTTTGGGAAACTCACGTTCAGAGAATCTCAGGGATCCATTTATGTGGTCGCCATCTTGCCGTCTCTCTGTTTTTTTTTTTAAATGACCCTAATTCAATCCATGAGGGAGCCTTATAACTTGCTCACCACCTAAAGGTCTTACATCTTAATACTATCACATTGGAAATGTTAAGTTTCAGATGGGAATTCTGGCCGATATTCAGACCATAGCAAGTAGCCTGCAAATAAATAGAATAAAATTGAGTTTGAAGCCATCTTCCATGGAGAAGAGGCTTTTTATTGTAGTGATTAAGGATATGGCTGCTGGACCAGACTAACTAGATTTAAATCCTTCTCTATCAATTACCTGCTATGTGACCTTGGGAAACCTGTCTTTGTCTCAGTTTTTTCCCTTCTGTGAAATAGGGATGATTACCATAGTAAATGTTTTATTGGCTTGTTGGATAGATCAATTTAGTAAATACATGTAAAATACATATGTAATATATGTAAGAATAGAACCTGGCACCTAGTGAGCATTAGATGAATATTAATTGTTGTTATTAGTCTTCAGATAGTTTGTCAGCCTGAAGGCCTCCCTGTAGCTTAGCCAGTCTGAATGTTGTTGAATTCTTTCCAACTGAAAATGCTTTTCTGACATCCTAGGTGGTGGAAGGAACAAAGCCATTTTCCTGACAGGTGAATGTACTCGTGATGTACATGCTTTCTTTTAGAGCTCCAACCAAGCAGCTAGCTTCCAAGAGAGGGAAAAAAGGAGACCCTCAATTCAGCTCAAGCACAATAGGGCCAATTTAGGTTTGCATTATGTGAGGTATCTTGATATTTGCCTTCCTATTTCCTTGCCCAGCCCTGGCACAAGGCCATCAAGATAAAACCTCCCCCATGACTACCAAAATTGCTGTTCTCTAAATTACCCATTATTATTCTGAGTAAAAAGAGAATTTGAAAAATTAGTATTCTGTAGGCCTGTGACTGTTCAGTGGGATAACTCCCAGGCCAGAGAGGGACCTTAGATCATAAGACTCCATTCTTTCAGGTGAATTTTCTGCTTTAAATTTGCCATTATTTCCTCAGGCCAGGAACTATCACCCTGCAGGCTCTTTCAGAAGCTAACAGAAGGCTCTGGATGGAAGCCATGGATGGGAAAGAACCTGTAAGTAGTATCTGACACTGGGGAAAACTCCCCAGCATAGCCTGGTATATGAGTGCCCTCTAGTGGTATCGGTGGGCCTAAATACAATTAAATGGTGGTAAATTCTTCAAACTCAAAGCTTTAGAGCTAGAAGGAATTGATTTCACATCTGTTTAATAAGTTGAACAAATAAAGTAACTTGAGTTCCAGAGAGGTGAGGGACTTGTTGAGGATAACTTGTATAGAAGGCATCAAAGATGGTCTTAGCATGCAGGTCTCTCAGCTCTTTCTTCTAGTGTTAGACTGTATGTGACTATGCCCGCGCCATTTCTTAAGAATTAAATTTAGCCCTTTTTTCAAATTATAAAATTAATACATGGCCACATAGAAGGATAGAAGATAACATTCATGGTTGCAAATCAGCACTTATTAAACTATTAATCAAAATTATTTTTCTGACACTCCTTATAACCCTACTTATTCTCTTAAAGTGAAAAGAAGAGATGGCATTGCCATTCTGTATTCCAAGAAGTACCACTCCCTTTAGAACTTGTTTTTTGCAGGAGAACAATCAATGCCTTAAAAGGCTGGTGATTATCATTCTGATTCCAATGTGAGCAGTCAGAAATCATTGAAAAAACATTCTCTTCAGTATCCTCCCAGTATTTTTTTAGTGGCATATGAAATAATGTCAGCTTCCTGGTGCTGGAATTTCAGTAGCCCGAATTTAGGTCCTGGTTCTGCCATTAAATGACCGTGTGACTTGAGCAAGTTTCACCTGAGACTCAAGTTTTCTTCTCCTCAGTAAAATGGCTTTTACCTTCCTCAAAGGGCTGCTTTAAAAAAACAGATTAAAGCTATTGTGTAAGCCGGGCTCGGTGGCTCAGCCTGTAATCCCGCGCCTTTGGGAGGCTGAAGTGAGTGGATTGCCTGAGCCCGCGGGTTCGAGACCCGCCTGGGCAGAACGACCTCATCTCTACAATAAATTTAAAAAACAGCCGGGCGTGGTAGCACATGCCTGTAATTCTGGCTACTTGGAGGGCTGAGGCGGAAGGATCGCCGGAGCCCAGCAGTTCGAGGCTGCGGTGGCCGGGAGTGGCCACTGCACTCCAGTCTGGGCGACAGAGTGAGACTCCAACTCAAAAAAAAAAAAAAAAAAAGAAAGAAAAGAAAGCTACTGTGTAAACCATAATGTGCTATATTTGTTTTAAATGCTCCTTACTGGTCTGAAGAATGATTGCAAAACTACTAAGGTTCAGCACTATTTGGATACAGCCTTATCTCCTTACTTTATTCAAGTAAAATACTTGCTAAGAGGGAAAATATGCCCCAGGTTTTTCTTTCTGGAGATTAAAAAGGAGTAACCAGATCTCACACTACACTTACAACATCCAGGAAGATAGCAGGAGAGAAGTGGTATTGTGAAGACCACCATATAGAAAGTAGGCCAGCACCCATCTACCTTCCTTCATCTCCCAGAAACCTAGTGCTTTACTCTTACGTTTCTGTGATGTTTCTCTAGACAGATGGTCAGAGGCTCAGCAGGGCACTTAATCTCTCGATTTCCTCTCCCATGTTTGCTTTCCTTTGGGCTTTTAAAGATTGAAATATGACTTTTCTGTGGATAATAATGTTAGCACATAGGCTCATTGAGTGTAAATCCTCACCAACTTGATCATGGCAGACGTTTCACAAATATCTTATTTATAAAAGTGGCAGCAACGGCTGGCCAGGACAGAAATCTCTTTCACTGAAATATCCATGGGCATATACCCATATACAGATTGTTTTTAAAGGAGAGGCTGTTCAAACAGACTCTAACAGATGGCTCAAAAAGGCTTAATTCCTGTATCCTCATTTTGCCAGTGTTGTTACCGCTTTACTAAATGCTCCAATCCACTAGTTTTACACATCATATGCATATCTTTGTGTACACTGTCAAAGAATATTAGAGACTGAAGGAACATCTACTCCAACCCTTATTGTTTTATCAATAGAAATTTTGAAATCCAGAGAATGGAAAGTTCATGCCCAGAATTTCCTGTTGCAGTAGAGGAAGAGCCAGGTACTAGATTTCAAGAGCCATCACAGTGCATACGCCAAGACAGCTCAGGGAATTCTTGGTAAATCTCTTTCGGATGGACGATTGCCTTTCCACAGAAAAACATCCGTAAACTAGTCTATGGGAGTAGGAGATTGGTTTGGGGAATATTTAAATTTTACTATGAATACCCATAGGCCAGGTACGTGTCCATGAGAAAAACACTTTCTTTCATGCTCTTTGGCGCCATCATAAAAGTGTTGCAGGTTTACATAAGCAAATGTTTAAGATGGATTGGCTACAACTTTACCTAAAGTGAATTGTGTTAAATCCAGTGTAATTTGTAGAAATTGTTAAACTGTTTTTTATGGACATTGGCAAGCATGATTCTGTTTAGTCTACTTTTTGTTAAAGCCCTAGAGCCTCTAATGATTTTGATGTCCTATCTGGGGAAAGAAATTTAATATTATTTGCCCTACATACCTGCAGTGATTCACAATAGCCATGTCTCTTTCTGTTTCTCTCTCTTTCTCTCTCTCTCTTTTTGTAGATCTACCACAGCCCCATAACAAAACAGGAAGAAAGTGAGTCATTCAAATTTTTGGTCTCCTGACATTATAAACTGCCAGTTGTTTATAATTATTTATAATAAATGCTATCATTAATTATATGTACTATTGATGCAAGTCTGTATATGGATACTTCTGTGTGAAATAAAATTCAGCTCTATTTTTAAAATGTGTCTGTTAATTGAGTTAAGGAAGGTACTTCATTTTAGCTTATGGTGGAGATAATAGTGGTAATATGGAGAAACACATTATATCCTTCTTGTTCTGGACACATTATGGAAATTGTGTGTATTTCCAGACTGATAATTTACCTTTGATATTGCTCATGCCTAAAGCAGAAACAATACAAAGGACTAAATAAAGACATTTTGTGTTGTAAGAGTTAAAACCCTAAATCTCTCCTGAATAGACGAATCTTTCCATTTAAGTGTTATTGGAGATGAGCAGCCAAATTCTTAGCTCTCTCCCTGCAGTTCCTTACCATGATCGTTTAATGTTTGGTAGGTGATGCTTGTTGCAGCAGGATCTAACTCTATTTTCCTTTGCTTGAAACAGTGGAGCTGAATGAAGTGGGGTTCAAGTTTGTTAGGAAGTGCATCAATATTATTGAGACAAAAGGTAAGATCTGAAGCATGGTCAATGGCACTGTTTGAAGCTGTTCACTCTGATTTTGGGGCAATTTCTCTGAAGTAACTATGATATCAATTATTGGTCAGGACCCATTTTAGGAATGAAGACTGCTTATAAATGTTGTGTACTATACACAGTCTGTAAAATTTCAGCAAATTTCAAACCATTGGTATCCAAGCATAGTTGGATAATTTGTGATGTCCTACTTTTAAAGAGAATGAACTTCAAACGGTTTATAAAGTATTCTGAAATAGTACGTGGCATTCCTTAAGCAGTGTCATGATGGTTCTTCCCTGAATAAACAGGAGTTCAGTTTCTACCGTAATACATGGTGGTTTAGCAATTGATGGGGCAAAGTTAAACTCCGGCAAATGTGGAATCAGCATTGTTCCCAACAATACTCCCCAGTTTCCCTCTAAGGATATTTAGAGTGTTGGCAAGTTTGGTGTATGAGCAAAACCTCTTTTTTTCCTTGAGATACTGCTTCCATCTTTCTCATTGCAGGAAATGGCCTTTTACTTTACATCTGCCGTACTCCAGCCCTCCCCTCTGCTCCTTTACATCACTGCTCAGCAGCAACTTTAGAATTGATATTTCCTCCTTTTTCAATTAAACCCCAGCTCCTTTCCAACATGGCAGCTCCATTCTTAGCTATCTGCTACTACCCACCTAAGCATGTCCTTCTTTGTAGTGTTTTCTTCTGTTCAGATTAATGAGGAATTGGTATAATCCAAATGAAAGCATGGATAATTGGGAAAGATGCTTTAGGACTGTTTCCCTGTTATAAGGTAGGCTGGAGAACTTGAAGAGTGTAGGGCGAACCCTTTCTGGCTGAACTGACTCCAGTATACAAGTACCTACCTTCCCTACCCTGGGGAGCTGAAATTTTTAGCTACATAAACAAAACTGACTTGATTTTCTTTCCCTAGGGATCAAAACAGAAGGATTGTACCGCACTGTGGGCAGCAATATTCAGGTTCAGAAGCTGCTGAATGCCTTTTTTGGTAATAATTTTACTTTCATAATTATTATTTGGAGAAATTTATGGGTTGAAAAGAAATGTGACAAAAAGAAAGATGGCATTGCTAAGCAAGTCTATAGAATAATTTAAAAAATATTTTCAAAGGTAAAATATTCTCATATTTGCTCATCCTAGGTCAGAGACAATCTTGCCTTGAGTAAATAGTTGTCATCTCTTCTTCTTTACATTCCATTCACTCCACAAACCCTTTTCAATCTGGTTTCTTATCCTACCTATCTACTGGAATTGCCTGACCAGGCTTAGCAGATATCTTCTTGTCGAATACAATGAGTACTTTGTAGTATCTCTCTCTTTCACTCTCTTACTTGATCTCCTTGTTGACAACTCCCTCCTTTTTGAAACTTTCTCCTTATTTTTTTATTTCCATGATTACAACACTCTCCTAATTTTTTTTTTTTTTTTTTGAGTTGGAGTCTCACTATGTCTCCCAGGCTGGAGTGCAGTGGCATGCTTCCGGCCACTGCAGCCTCAACCTGCTGGGCTCTGGCGATCCTTCTGCCTCAGCCTTCCAGGTAGCTGGAATTACAGGCGCACGCTACCATGCCTGGATAATTTTTGATTTATTATAGAGATGAGGTCTTGCCAAGTTGTCCAGGTGGGTCTCAAACCTGCGGGCTCAGGCTATCCACTCACCTCAGCCTCCCAAAGCACTGGGATTACAGGCTGAGCCACCGAGCCCGGTTACTGATTTTGTTTTTAGACAGCATTGAATTTTGTTTTGTAGGCAGTTATTTTTGGATCATTTTGATCCACTCGATGCTTCTTTTGAAGCTTTGTTAGGCCAGATATAAAGTATATATTTTAATTTACTGGCTAGTTTAGCCGTACTACTAAGGTCTATCCTCTTTTGTCTCTCCAATATTACTGATTGGAACATAAACATCTCCCATTTCTGTGTGAACTCTGAAATCATACAGCATAAAGTTCCCTGGTATCTTATTTCCCCCACAGCTTGAGGAGTTTCACCCAAGGCTTATTATTCACTCATGACTCAGTATTCAGCAACAGACTCAAAGGGACCTATAGGTAGGGTTGTTTTTGTTTTGTTTTGTTTTGTTTTACTTTTTTGTCTACATACCTCCTTCTTATCTGGTACTCTGCCCTGTGAATTTTAGCTGCTTCAACCTCTGTGAACTTTGATCTTTGTCTCTTCAACTGAGCGAGGAAGCTTGAATGTCTGATCCTTGTGCTACCTACCACTCAAAATATGCTTTTAGGTGCCAAACTGTGGCTTGGTAGGTGTTATCTTGTTTTTTTCCTTTATCTCAGAGTCATGGTCTGATGTTATCCATTATTCACTGACTAAAACAGCATGTGTGTGTTTGCATGTGTGTGTGTATACTACATATATATATTTATATATGTAGTCCAATTTTCTCTTTTTTCTTTTTTTTTTGATTTGGAGTCTCACTCTGTCACCCAGACTGGAGTGCAGTGGTCGCTCCCGGCCACCGCAGCCTTGACCTGCTGGGCTCCGATGATCCTTCTACCTCAGCCTTCCAAGTAGCCGGAATTACAGGCATGTGCTACCACGCCCGGCTGATTTTTTGATTTATTGTATACATGAGGTCTCCCTGCCCAGGCGGGTCTCGAACCCGTGGGCTCAGGCAATCCACTCACCTTAGCCTCCCAAAGGTGCGGGATTACAGGTTGAGCCACTGAGCCCGACCAATTTTCTAATTGTTACAATAGGAGGGTAAGTCTAATGCTAGTTATTCCACCATGACTGGGATTGGAAGTCCCTCTGTGTGGTTGTTACTAGCACCTGCGTGCTGACCTTTTCAAAAATTTCTTTCCCAGACACCATTTCCTGAGTTCCAAATGCAAGTATTCATTTGTTCTTTTCACCCGAGCTCCCCAGCCATATTAAGGTTATGGCACATATCAGAATGATCATCTTTATATAGCTCCATGCCAGGCATCCTACTGGTATCTTACGGTCTTCAATAGAACTGAAATAGTTCCTTCATATTGCACATGGAAGTACACGTTGTTTGATATATCAAGGAAAGTGGCAGAATTGGTATGTTTGCGTGTTTCATCTATTCAACAGCATCCTCCAAATATCAGCATTCATAGGGTAAATGGACATAGTTAAGGCCAGAAGCTCTAAAGGCTGAGAGAATCAATATTGGCATCTCTGTACAAGCTCTCTCTACATAGATATTTCACAGGTCCTTACCTTTGACATGTGCAGAACTAAAATCAATGTTTTCTGTCCCTGAAAACCAGCTCTTCTTCCTTTTGTGAGTGGTAGTGTAGTGTCTGGTAGGCTCAATTTTCACCAAGTATCATAGAATAAATTGAGTGTAGAAAGCTACAGTTTGGATAAAGCACATAATTTTTGGTCTTTTCTGTGATGCATAGCTAATCCCCCACAAGCCAGATGGTCTGACAGCCAACCGTATTCACATATTGATGCTGCTCCAGCACTCAGTAATAGCAGGTGTGGTGTGTTTGCATTACAGATTATATCATTAGTACCTCTATATGTGTTTTCATTAATCACTTTACATTCTTGACTTTTAAAAAATTCAGGTTGTCTTATTCTTGGCAATTTACAACCTGTCTCATTAGCTGGAGGGTACTTTTTCATATGTAAAACAGCTGACAGCATGTCCCAGGATATTTAGTGTCAAAAAATTATTGAACCCTGATCAACTGTTTAGAATTCTGTTTGCAGTATCACTACATTCTTGTATCTGAAAAATGCCATGCCAGGCATTCTACTGATTGTCTTAGGTGCTTCAAATGGTTCCTTCAAATTGCACATGGCAGTACAGTTTGTTTCAAATATCAAGGAAAGTGACAGAGTTGGTATGTTTTATCTATTCACCACCATCCTCAAAATATCAGCACTAGTAGGAGTATCTGAAATACAGACCTGGAAGTTTTGCACCTAAATATTTATAGATCTAATAAAAGAACATTGATTTCCTTATTTGTGTATAAACTGGTAACCTTTGATTCCCTCACCAAATATGAAATTCCTGATCTGGTGGTGATCCTCATTCATTCATTCATTTATTCATTCATTCAGCAAGTATTTGAGTGCCTAGCTAAGGGTCAGGCATTATGTTGAGGACTGTGGATTAAACAGTGAACACACCCCATGTATTTCTCATGTTTGTGGGGCCTACACTGAATGGGGAAGACTGTCTCTCAGGTAGTTTGTTTCATGTTGTTTTTTCTGGGATCTTTCACTGGGATCCTTAAACTTGCCTTGCTTCTTTTTACCTTTTTCTAATCTATTCTCACACCAGTAAGCGCTTGCTGCCTTGACTGCACATGGACCCAACATGATTCATCCAGGAGAACAAACATTCATTGCCTTTTGCAGAATCTTTTCCTCTCTTTTTTCCTTATTTTTCATGCTCTATGCCAGTGAAAAGAACACTTCTAGCTATTTTTTTTTTAACTTAAACAGCCTACAGACTTCTTTCCCTATGACATCTCCTGTAACATGTAACTGTGAGATTTCTTCTACTGTTTCCTTCTTCCCCTACCTGAAGATTTGTCCTTTTGGCAAATACAATATAACACAGACTACAAAGTCAAAGGCAACACGTTCACAATCAATAATTATTTTCAATCAGTCCGTTGGTTGGTTACTCACATCTTACCTACACATGAGATTTCTGTGTGATGTTATATGTTAATTGATTCTATACACTGTGAGGAGTAGAGTCATCATTTGTACTGAATCTATTGTAAGCCACCTTGGTCACAGAGAAGCCAATCTGATCATCTTGGAGGCAGCTTGGAACCTCTTCTAAGAGTTCTGCTTTTCCATCCTTTTCCAAGCCATAGCCATCTTAGTAATGAGAATGTCTCCCATGGTCATTATAATCTTGATAATCATGTTGTATTCCAGAGGTTCTGAGTATTTCACAGTGGATGAAGTAGAACGGTGAGATGGGGCATGGAAAGCATGAGACGGGATGTATCAGCAGGGGTCCTTAATGAAAATGAGCTTGGCTGGAAACCATACACAGAAAAGTGTTGTTTCTGCAATTCCCTTACCTTGCCTGAGGACTGGTATTCAAACAGAAGAGGAATTGCCATAGCAAGCAAAGTAATAAATCACTGCTAAGATATAACATGTTATTTTATTTTCTGTTTAGATATTTAAATTTCTCATTTCACTATTATAGTTTTAGAATAAAATATATCTACTTTTCTTTTTTTTTGAGTTGGAGTCTTACTCTGTCGCCCAGACTGAAGTGAAGTGGCTGCTCCCGAGCACTTCAGCCTTGACCCGCTGGGCTCTGGAAATCCTTCTGCCTCAGCCTTCCGAGTAGCCGGAATTACAGGCATGCGCTACCATGTCCGGCTGATTTTTTGATTTATTGTAGAGATGAGGTCTCGCCAAGTTGCCCAGGCGGGTCTCGAACCCACGGGCTCAGGCAATCCACTCACCTCAGCCTCCCAGAGCACGGGATTACAGGCTGAGCCACTGAGGCCGGCTATATATTTACTTTTCATAAACCAAGTGGAATACCTAATATAATTATATAGAGACAGATAACAGAGTAAGAATGTACACCTTGACATTTTTCTGTTTTTGTGTTTAATGTGAGTTATTCAGCATCTGAAGACTTAACTTTAATATTAAACTCATATATATCTGAACAAATAGATAATACATATATTAAACAGTTCAAATTTCATCAACTCTTTACTTGAAGGAAAAATACAGGGTCCCCCAACAAGTAAAGCAAAAACATATTATACTCTGCTTCAGGAACTGCAAAACTTGTACTCTATGCATTCATCTTTAAAGCAACTCTCTATGTTAATAATCTTTATGATACCCACCATAGTGGGGTCTTTAGTTTTCAATACATAGCAAAAGGCTTTTGTGCCTAAAGCCAGATCCATGTGTGTGTATGTATATACATATATTTCACAAATAAATTTCATATAGGTTTAATATGTTAATCACAGCTATACTTATTATTT